TGGGGAGATCAGCAAATACCTTGTCAGATGTGTTAGCTAAGCAAGGGGTAAATAGGGAAGAATTATTTTGGGCTCAATTGTGATTCTTGTTTTTCTTTCCTAGTTTACTTGTAAGTTTCAAGGAGGGGCTGCAGCTCGCGCCTCTCACTGGGATGATGTATGAACTCACTCTAATTTGCTTCTGAATCAATAAACTTACTATTATTCATAAAAGAAAAGGGATTTTATGTCTGACAAAGCACCTGTTTTTAGGTGTCCATGCCACATGACATAAAAACACATAAATGCTTTGGGATGTGCCTATTGCTTAACCTTGTCAGCTCATTGTCTGATGTTTGGTGTTCTGTAGGGTACAACAGGAATCAGCAGATGGTGCTGAAAGAAACCGTTTTCTTGTTAATTATGTGGATTATGCTTTTGATGACTTTGGGGGTAGACAGCCACCAGTTTATCCTGGCTTATCCACGGTCTGGGGCAGCTTGGCTCGCAGCAAGGTATATGTGTTGCCTCTGATTTTGTTCATTTTTATGGAATACTACACATTTGTTTGTGTGTAAGCTTATGAACTATTATTTCCTTGCCATTTTATTTTCTGTATTCTTGTAACTTTGTAGTGGAAGTTTTTAAAATCTTTGTGAGAGAGTAATTGAGACTCATGTCCCAATGTGTATGGTACTTGTCTTATAATATGGATGCTGGATGCAACACTGCTGAAAACTCTAAAATGTATTCCGTTTGTGAATGTTTTGGGAATTGTATTCAATATACTTTAATACTGAAATTATAAATTATAAGTTTTGTCTTGTCATATTTGTATAGCTACAAGTCAACTAAAATATGTATGTGGTTCAACTCATGGCCGACTGGCCAGATTCTGCTAACTTCTTGTCCTAAAAGTAGGGCTGCAAATGGTATCCGATTGTCCATTATTCGAATTTGAATTGGATTCTATTAAGGGTGATCCAAATTTGACCTGTTTATTTAATTGGATCAAATATCCATCCACTCCTATCTGATCCGATATAATCAGATTCGATATACACACACACACACTTAAAATTTATAGTATATCTATAAGTACTGTTAGTTTGAATGTTTTATTTTCTCTAAATTGTCATTGGCTCATTTTTAGTTTATCTTATTTATACTATTTAATATTCTGATCATTTTGAGATACTTAGTTTATGGTCTAGATCTTATTAAAACATAGTTGAAATTAAGTAAGGGTAGTTCTGTTCAATTTTTCTTTATTGGTTTGAAATTTCCCTTGCATTTATGAATTATGCATGTTTCTTATGCTTTGCAGGCTAAAGGTTACCGTGTTGGGCCAGTTTATGATGATGTGTTAGCAATGGCTTGGTTTTTTCTAGAATTAATAGTGAAGTCAATGGCGCTAGAGCAGACTCGTCTATTCTATCATAGTCTTCCTTTAGGTAGTTTCTATAATCTGCTATAGGGCTTTGATATATCAATCAACCGGTTCATCTAATACAATTATATTAGATTGCATATATTGTAAAAACATGCTTTTAGCAGTATTTTTGTTATAGCTGTATTTGTTATATTTGTTTATGACAAGTCAACTCATTAATACTGTTTTCTTTAAATATATATGCACTGTCTGATCCAAACATTCTCTTTGAATTAAGCTTTTTGTGCCATTTTTCTATTGTCTAACTTGATTTTCTGAACTTTGCAGTTAATGCCTTTATTTATATGTGATTTTAATTATTGCATCTGGTGCTTGCATAAAATTTGGAGAGTGCATTATGGTTGTCTATAATTGTTGATAGAACTCAACTGACTGGGTTGTCTTCATTTTGGGGACACTTACAAGATGGCATATGAAAGGTTTGATCTGTTGTAATTGCATAGCCTTATCAAGAAGTTTGAAACATTAGTGACTACATTGAATGGATTGGGGTGACAGTCATAACTATTTGTATTACTTATGGCTTGCTGTGGAGACACAAAAGTTGACTCTCCTTTAGGGTCTGAGTTACTATTTTGTTGAGAGAGAAGTTTCTATCTCACCTTACAAGGTCTTTTGATTTGTTATCCACTCCTTGAGGCAGGGGATTCATGAAGATGGCTCACATGGGCTCTACAACATGCAATTTGTTAAGAAAAATTTCTAGCTTCTATTATGAATTACTTGTTTGGCAGAAAGAGGTGTTAATTGCATGGGGTTGTAAGGTGTGCCCTACTGTGTTTGGCTGTTGGTTATTGATGTGTATTTTTAGTGGAGAAGCTGGAAATGGCCACTTCTACTTTCATTGTAAGGAGAGATCAATGGGCTGAGTTGATTTTTTTTCTTAATAAAACTATTTGACCTGTTAGTGTAAAGATACATGTAAAACATTGACCGACATGTCATTAACTTAAGGAAAAAAAGGTTTAGAGGTATGTTCTGTTCTTATAAGATCAATCCCAAAAAAATAAATCTGACTGTTTGAAGTGCTATTGAGATTTAAAGATGCTTAGATATTATAAAGGTAAAGTAATATTGTAGTTTGGGAATTTCTTTATACCATTCCTTTTTTTTTTCTCTACATGATAGGGTATTCCTGTTAAGTGATGGCTTTATTGGACCTTGTAATTCTGTTCTTCAAGATTATGTTATCTATTTGTTTATTTCTGTCACGGGTGAAAAGCATCAATTTGCCATTTTGTTGCTGTCTAAACTTGGTGATGTTCCACCGAAAAAAACTTGGTGATGCAATTTCCAATCTTTTTTCTTTTATGGGTACTCGTGTATTTTAAGAAATAAATGTCTAGTTTTGTGAACATCTTCTGTTTGTGTAATAGGTGAAGATGTTCCACCATTACAATTGAAGGAAGGTGTATTCAGATGCATCATGCAGCTGTATGACTGCCTACTTACAGAGGTGCATGAACGCTGCAAGAAGGGGTTAAGCTTGGCAAAACGTTTGAATAGCAGCTTGGCCTTCTTTTGTTATGATCTTTTGTCTGTTGTTGAGCCTAGACAGGTTTTCGAGCTGGTGTGTATGCTTTTACTTGAAAAGTTCTATTTATTTATTTATTTGTTGATTGGTTAAAGTGTTCTTCATTTTTCTTTTGGTTGCTATACAGAATTTGGTTACCAAAAAAAAAATTCTATCCACAAGCTGGAAGTTTCTCTTAGGTCTAGTTCCTGTAAAACTTGTATTTACATGGTTTGTAAGTTTTGTAGGACCTATAACATGAAGTAGAATTGCAACATAGGTTTATGTGATATGGCTACTTGGTATGGGCTTGAGAATCCAGTCTGATTGAAATTGCATCAAATAACAAAAGGGTTCCTGGAAATCAAACAAAGGGGTCAATTGGGAAAAGGAATTCCTTCTAAGTGATAATTTGGAGTCATGGTTTAGAATGTTTGAATACTGTCCTGAAATTTGGTATCAGAAAGTATGAAATCAAAGTTGCCAGCTAAGTCACTGTGGGTGTCACTCAGTGGGAAAACCTAAAAAGAAACATTGATTTGCTATCATATTTCTTTTCTGGAGACTTGTCTTTTCTCTTATTTTTCCTTTTTACTGCAGTTATTAAATATTATTTAGCTGTGACTTTTCTTTGTTGTAGCTGTTGCAGTCTTTTCATCTTTTTTTATATAATCTTTTTGAAAATTTCAGATTTGACAGGTTCTAGTTAGATACTGCAGAAGCAGAACCATTTCCCTTCCTCTTGTTTTTTCCTTTCATTTCTCATAAAATGAAATGTTTTTGTTTTTTTCACAGGTATCATTGTACATGGACAAATTCTCTGGGGTTTGTCAATCTGTTTTGCATGACTGCAAACTTACATACTTGCAGATATTATGTGATCATGATCTTTTCGTGGAAATGCCAGGGAGGGATCCTTCTGATAGGTACCTGTTTAATAAAATTTGTTGTTTGGTCAGTGTCATTTTCTTCCTTTAAGCAATTTTTGATCGATGACCCAGTACTCTCGCATCCTTTTATTAGAAACAAAATGTATTTTGTTAAATCAAATGAAAGGAATGATGTCAAGAAATGTCATGGTTTATCACTTCATCCGATTATCACTAAAAAACATGCTTGGAGGAAAGATTGACTGTTTGACATGGTAACATTGCCTTCTATTGTGCCTTTTACAGTCTTCAATGCTGGTGATGCTCCTTGGCATTACTTGCTAGTATTGTTCATTATAGCGAGGACTAATATGAGAAAGAAGTCATGTAGTACAATATTACCAAACCCTCCACTGTGTTAATGTTTGGCCAATAATTGAAGGGCAAGGTGCTATTATGGCAGAAAGACCTATCTCCATTATTGAGGTGCCACGTTCACCAAAACCAATCTAATTCCATAGAAACGCTTCCACTTTCATGGAAACCAAAATGAAAAGTTCCTGGTTGCTATATATCTGAATACTTGTATAACAATAAAAAAATTGAGTATGTTGGAAACTTCCAACTTTTAGTGTAAACTGTGTACAATGTCCAGCTGTATTTTTTTTCATGGATCTTCATTTTTCTTAATACAAAAGATTTTTATTAAAAATAAAGAAAAATGAGATTTTTCTTCCTCTTCTTCCTCTTCCTTCTTCCTCCTCATCCCCCCCTCCTCTTAAGGAGGCATAAGCCTCCTTGTGTTTGGCAGGCTTGCGCCTCTTATGTTCTGAACTACGCCTCACGCCTCTAGGTAGTGGAACGCCTCGTGTCACACCTCCGCGTTTTAAAACATTGATACAATCAGCCCCTGTTGCAGTTGTATCCTTATTTACAGCAATCTTGAACAGATCAGGAAATAAGATCTCTAGTAGGCCATCCCCGCACCAGTAGTCTTTCCAAAAATGCACTCTGTGTCCCTTACCCACTTCATATTTTATACCCTTAATAAACTGTGAATGGATTTTCTGAATTGCCTTCCAAATTGAACATCTATAGGAGGACCGTACATCTTCATTCTCCCACTCCCTGCTACTGGAGCCATACTTGGATGCAACTAGCCTTCTCTACAGACTATTTGGTTGTTCATTGAACCTCCATAACCACTTCTCTAACAAGGCAGCTTTGACATCCTTTACTGATCTGATCCCTAGGTCCCCATTTTCCCTGTAACTGCAGATTTTATTCCAGTTCACCAAATGACATTTTGCTTCCTCCTCCACAGATAATCTCACATCTTTTCTAACACCGCAGCTGTTCTTTCCGGAGTTGGGAACAAAGACATGTACTTAACAGGAAGAGAAGACAAGACACTTTTGATTAAAGTGAATTTACCTCTTTTTATTAAGATTATAGGCAATTAATAGTGAAAAATGGTTGCTGCTTGCTATGGAACCTAGGGAATTATCCTAGGATTCATGGTTTTTATTCAAAAGGATCCTATTGCCTGGCCTCACCTTGGTGCCTTGAAAACTATCATGAATTGAGGTTGACTGTTATATCCACAGCAAATTAGATTATAGTAATCAAAACATGAAAACATGATAAAAACTCTAGAAAAATCCATTAACAAAAAAAGACATTTTATAAAAAATAAAAGAACATATTTTCATTAATACTTAAGAGACCATCTGTTTTTTTCTCTATTTTCTAAATCAATGGCTATTTTATCAAAACCACTGTATATTTGTTCACATCTTTAGCAAGGCACTTACTTATTTCCTTTCCACCAAACTTCCTTTTCACACTCCCTAGATTGAATCAAATCACTGTTGGTTATTTGGGCTGAATATGTGAATTGCTAAATGAGTGGTCTCTTGCAGGAACTACCTTTCATCTGTTCTAATACAGGAGCTTTTCCTTACATGGGATCATGATGATTTATCTCTGCGATCCAAAGTGAGTTGTTTACTTATTACATATCATATTTTTGTTTTTTGGCAATTCTATCGCTTTGGTTCTTTCTTTAAAAGATCAAATGGCCTAATATAATGCTTTCTCTTTGATACCTGCAGGCGGCTCGAATCTTGGTTGTGCTTACGTGCAAGCATGAGTTTGATGTTCGATACCAAAAGCCTGAAGATAAATTATACATTGCCCAGTTGTATTTTCCACTTATAGGACAGGTGCATATCATTGTTAAAATCTGTTTTTCTGCATTTTGATGTTTCTACATTAATTAATTTTGCTTGATTTGCAAAGTTTGTGGTTCTAGAAGGGGTTCTTTGAAACTCAAGAAGTTCTGGAGTAGTGGAGTATGGGGTGTGTTCTGTAATTGGGAAGTTCTTTGTTTTTTTATTTTTTATTTTTTTGATATGCGACAGATAAATTTCATTTAAGAGAAACCACTGCAAAAACAGTGGATTTAAGTACAATACAAGAGGAAAGAGCACATCCAAACCAGCTTCAAAAAGGAAAAAAAAACAAGATCTCTATTAAGCACAACCACATGGCAAAAACAGAGAAAACCTCAAAAGAGATACAAATGTTACAAGTTTGCTCCTGGTCGTGGACAACCCCAATCCAGTAGACTCTTTTGTACCCCAGCGTTGGCTGAGGAGTCAGCGAGGCCATTAGCACTTCTAGATACCCACTTGAATTAGCTATTCAATAAGGATCCCAAGTGTTATGCCTGCCTTACCAATGGTCTAACTTTCCAAGGGACCAAATCCTGCTTCTTCGGCCAACGTATTAAAGTTTGACAATCACTTTCCACCTCCACATATTTTAGGATCGTTAATTTCATCAATTTCAATCCCTAAATTAAGGCATTCAGTTCAGCTGTTTAAGAATTGCCAAAACCGCTAGGCCCAGAAAAGCTTAGTAGGATACATCTATTGTGATCTCTGACCACATCCCCAATACCTGAATTACCTGGGTTTCCAAGGCTGCACCAATCAAAATTCAACTTGAGTTTATCTATTGCTGGAACACACCAACTGACTAACCTCATTGGTTTACTGACCTGAAAATCAGCAACTGTTTTCCATTCCCTTAACATATCATTTAAGGACACACCTTTGAACTCTTTACATACCATGGTCCAGTGGGCAGTTCTGGTCATGGTTAGTTCAATTAACTCCTCCACCCTCCTATCCTTTTCCTCAAATTTCCTGGTGTTCCTTTCTTGCCAAATACTCCTAAGTACAGAACCTCTAACGCATTGCCATAAAACCTTGTCTCTTTGTGCAGCATGTTAACCCAGTTTGTGCTAAACAGCTCTTTGACTTCTGCTGAAGGCACCCATACATTCCCCAAGAGAGAGAAAAAATGAGCCCACAGTTCGGTTGTAAAAGTACAATGCAATAAGAGGTGGTTAGTAGTTTCCCCTTTTCTGAAACAAAGGACACAAATATGAGGTGACTCTAATTGGGAAGGAAATATCCTACTTTTACATTCTGGGCCAGCTGGTTCTGGTAACTCTACTTGGACTATGAATGGGCAGTACTACATGGATTAAGGATGTCAAAATCACTGCTCTACAAAGATATATTGATTGAAGGGGATTCACATGTAATGATAGGGTAGCTAAGAAGAAACAGCATTACGTCATGAGATGCCGGCACACCATAAGCGAAACCATTCAGAAACAAATGAATTTGAGGACAGTTAAATGGTGGAGTCTGTAATCAGACCTAGAATAAAATTAAATAGGGCAGAAAACAAGGTAGAAACAGTTCAGGTTTAAGCAGAAATAGAAGAGAAGAGAATGGAGAGAAAAAACTAGGGCTAAGATGTTAGGGTGGCTAAGAAGAAAACAAGGTAGAAACAGTTCAGGTTTAAGCAGGAGAGGTTGAACATTACTGATCTCAATTCCTGCACTCTTTTATTATTATCATAATGGAAGATGAAATTACAAGACTACCCTTCCTTAAATAATAAAAGAAATAAGAAATATAACTAGAGAGAGACAGCTGCCACATAGATAAATAGAGAGAAAACAGCTTCTAACACTCCCCCTCAAGTTGGAGCATAAATGCCATAATGTTCCAACTTGCTGCAAATATGATTCCTTCGTGCATGGCATAAGCCTTTGGCTAGATGATCTCCTGTAATTTCATCTTTGGAATTTCTATTTTCTTACTCATTTGTTATATGATACATTTGGAAGCTTCAAAAGTCTTTGTTTGTTGTTCAACCATGCATCTATTTATGTTTGCGTTCTTTTAGCCACGAGTGTTTCATCTTATAATCCTCCTAAGTTGGTAATGCTTTATATATGCAGATCCTAGATGAAATGCCTGTTTTTTACAACCTGAATGCGGTTGAAAAGCGTGAGGTCTTAATAGTTGTTATGCAAATTCTGCGCAATTTGGACAATGCATCACTTGTCAAGGCCTGGCAACAAAGTGTTGCTCGAACCAGATTATTCTTCAAACTCCTAGAGGAGTGTCTTGTTCTTTTTGAGGTTTGTATCTCAGGGAAATTCTCTTTTCTTTCTGATATGTTAGCTAATGGGCACTGTAATAAAACTCTTTACATGAAAGTTGTTATTCTTTTAAGTTGGTTGAATATGAGACAATATGGTCTATCCTGGTCGATATGTTTTTTTTTTTTTTTTATGATAATTCATAAACTGATTTAGAATTGTAATTTCATACAACATCCCATGGAGAGGCACAAACTGCAGCCTCTCCCAATAGCCATAGTTTTCAAGGCGCCAAGGTGAGGCTAGGCGACACCCCCTTGTTGCCTAGTTGCCTAGGCATCACCTAGGCTATGGATTTTTTCAAGCAAAAATATGTATTCTAGGGCTGAAAACTGTGGCCCCTATTTCTGTTATAGGAAAAGACAAAAAGAAAAGGTGGAAGAAGAAAATTGGTATATAGTATAGACACACAAAATTAGTAWAGAAAAAGAAGTAARTGTGTTGGTTAGACAACATTTTAAGTTCTTCCTTACTTATTGGTTCCGGTTTTGATGTCTTTTAGGGTTCAATACAGCATTTAGCAATGTTTGTGTTGATTAAACCCTAACAAATAAGAAATAATAAAAAGAAATTAGTATATTTACACACAAAATGAATATTTTAGTTTAAAAATGTCTATTTTAAAATTATAACCTCAAAAAATTAAGAATATAAAAGTTTTGTCTAACACACTATAGTAAACTACTTGGCGATTAGGTGAGGCGAGCCTCCAAGGGCGCCTTGTTGCCTTGACAACTATGCCAATAGCTCACAAGTAAACTAGTAATAAAGTACATAAATCACAGCTGAGCCCAAAACAATTCTTCCCTATTTACCCCTTGTTTGGGTAACACACCAGCCAAAGCATTTGCTGATCTCCCCATCCACTGTATAGAAACCAACATATTCCTTGTCAACCTATTAAATTTCTTAATTTCATTCTTGTAGCACCACAGTATCCTTGGGGGTTTTCAGCCAGCCCACCACAACTTGGAATCCCCTTCATTGATTAAATGCTCTACCCCCAATTGGTTTGCAAATTGCACCCCTTGTACAGCAGTAAAAGCTCTGCCCTAGCAGAATCTCCAACTCCTAAAGGACCCGAGTAGAGCAGTACCACCTCTCCCAACCCATTCCTCAGAACACCCCCATCCCAGATATCCCTGGATTGCCCGAGCTACTTCCATTGAAGTTCAGCTTTAAAGAGCCTTCAGATGGGGGAGACCATCTTGTAACTGTCTTATTCTTAATGGAAGAACACCTCGTTACTGCTGCCCAGTTTCTCCAAAGGTCATCATCATATGAGAATTGATGAAAAATTTCCAAAGTCTACAGCAACATAATCCTGGTTGATATGTTATGGAACGCCTTTTTGTTCTTTCTAGTTGCTATTTTGGTAAATCTCCCTAGAGAGTGAAAAATGTGTACCACTGATTATTGCATCATTTTAACCACTTTATACTGCCAGTGTTATACATATATTACAATGTCTACATTTGCAAGAATGCATTCTTTTCTGATAAAATCATAAATCATCATCATCATCATGATGGAACCCAGGAATAGCTCCAATAGGTGATAAAATGAGAAAAAGTAGACTGAGGTGATTTAGTCGCATGCATAGAATCTGTATCACCTGTTAGAAGAAGTGATCTGTTACAAGTTGAAGGAGATAGAAGAGATAGGGGCAGACTGAAAAGGACTTGGGTGGTGGTGATATGAAATGATTTAAGTGCCCATAAATTGATGATGGATATGGCACTGACTGAACAGAACGGAATGGCTAAACAGGATTCATGTAGCTGACCACATATGGTTGGGACAAGGCTTAGATGATGATGTTACTCATTAAATAACTCTATTTTTTATTGGCAATGGAATCACTTTAAAAGATGAGAGGAAAGACTTTACTTTCCAGAAGACTTCAGAGAGATGGAGATGGAGATAACAAACAACCAAAGACTGACAAACTATTTCAAACCTATTCCTGGGCCTGGCAATCCCTGTTCTGTTTTGAAGTGGTGTATATATTCTGTAACAGGATAAAGTTATAGCACAGAAGATGCGGAAATACTGACATATAGCATGGATAAATGCATGCAAAAACACTTGGGATGAACAACTCAACCCCCAAGGAGGATATGGGTGGAAATGTTACACCCAAAATTGATGGGTAGGGACAATCCTCAAGACAACTCTCTCTTCCAAACATCTCTTCTGGTTAACAGACCAGGTAATTGGTTAACTGATCTTTGGACCAAATGGAATGAGATGTTCCCTCTAGATGCCAAATGTCTAACTTGTTTAAGATCATGCTGAAGGTCCTGAGGTTATCCTTCTTCATCTTCATTGATGTTATCGCTACTTGAGAGTACCCTACACTTAAAGGGAGCATGCAGGTGTGAGATATCTTCCTCATGGCTTGCAAAGGCACCTCCCTAAACTCAAGGTGCCAACCAGCTGGTTGGTAAGGTCTCCTGCTGGTTGTAGCGGAGACTTGGGAACGAATCCTGCCTGCACCTAGGTTGGGGGATGGGCTACCCCCCGTTGTGTAGCCCTTCAGAACATATCTTAAAAAGGCACCTCCCTAAACGTTAAGGTCCTGCTTCCCCCAAGAGCAGCTATCAAAATTTAGCCACTAATATATATTTTTTTACTTCTTTCTTATGCCTGTGTAAAGAACAGAAGGCAACAAACGGAAATCTGTCACTAGATCATCAATGGAGAATCTCACTAAACTGCTCTGTAATGAGGATGCAGTATGCCCTAACAGTGATAATTAACGTTTTGGAAATTGTAATCATATTGTAAATCATAAAGAAGGTTGAATTGGATCTTATTATACTTATTAGGGAAATTGTCTTAAACTCATCAAGACTTTTCATCATTTCTCTTAAACTTACCATAACTTTTCAAAACGTCCAGGGAACCCCATATCAATAAGTTGACGTTAAATAGATTAATGGATGTGGGTAGATTACTGTTTTACCCTTTGTTCTGTTGTAAATGGAAAATAAATCTAAACTTTGATAAAAAAAACAACAAAAATATATCTTAAATACTTCAGTCTAAAAATGTTTCTGCCCATTTTATATATTTAAGTAAAAGGGGAGCTTCAAATAAAAAAAGAACGCTTTTGATTCAAATCAAACTCATCTGATGCTCCATATCTACTTGCACAGCACAACTGCCACTATATCCCTTTTAATTTAAAATGCAACAAGAACTGAAATCAAGAAAAGATCTGTGGTCAAGAAGAGGACATGTGGCTCTGTAGGACCCAACATCGACTTGTATCAGATGTTTGGTTAGAACAAAGGTGTATTGAATAAAAGTTAGGCTGACATAAAAATATTTTTAATAAGGCTGATATGCCATTCAGGGGCATTTTGATCATAAAAATTGCATTTATTCTGGCATTGACAAATTCTGTCAATGAACACTAGCGGTGCTCTAACGGGTGGTGAGTTTTGGAAAACAAAAAGTCACTGACATGGGTTGCCTGGAAGTTTTGAAAAGTTATAGTGAGTTTAAGAGAAATGCGGAAAAGTCATGGTGAGTTTTAGACAATTTCCCTACTTATTAAGATCATTTCTGTTTTTATAAATTTGTCAGAAAATAAAACATATACATATATGTATATATTTAAAACTTGTATACAAAGAAATGATTTACCCCATTTTTAATCCATTTCTACCATCTCTATACCCAATATGACAGAGTTTACCACTTTGTACACTAGAAGCATAAGATGATATATTTAACACTCATAGTGCAAGGAAAAAAATTGAATTCTTAGAGACATTAATTGTGTTTATCTTCAGTATCAATCTCACAATGAAGAGTGAGAAAACGTTATCCTGAATGCCCAACAAAGTACGGGGGATTAATAGGTGATGTATGGTCTTGCTACTAGCTCCGCAAATAGAGCATATCTATGGTGAAATGGACCAATTAGTCCCTTGATTGAATCATATCATTAGTATTGTTATTCAAGTGTATATTGCCTTCTGCAAAATTCTCTTGTTTTTTATGGAGTTGAACCTAGCCATTAAGCCTTTCCTAGAAAGGATGAGGAGAAGCTGAAGGACAAAGGGCTTCAACAAATGAAGATCATGAAAATGGTAAAGGCTTACAATATCAGATAAAAAAGGATTCTTTCATTGATTCACGTTTTTAGCCACTGGAGAATTGCAGTTTAAGTGGAGGCCCTCTTCCATGTGAAGTATAAGCATCCTTAGGCATGAAGAGTGGGCAATTTCTTTTGTATCTCGTACTGATCATGAATGTTATATATTCGCTGTTCATCCTGAAAGTATTTTAGTTTTGCCATTGTTTTTGGTCTTCTGGTTGTTATCTGCATCCTGATGTTCCACCATATGTTCTACAGCACAAAAAACCAAATGACAGCACACTACTGGGGTGTAGTTCTCGTAGCCCTGACAGAGAAGGACCCGTTTCCCCAAAGTACTCTGATAAGCTCTCACCTGCAATCAACAACTATCTTTCTGAGGCATCTCGACAAGAAGTTAGAGTATGATTACCTTTTTTTATTTTCAATTGTTCTTCTGAAACCATCTGCAGTTACTGTTGGGTGCATCTATTCCATTATTCATGATACTTGCTTATAATTGGGTTTTCACTTCTGTTCTTGCTTCCAGTCCTTCAGTATATCTTATTGGTGTGTGAGTGTGTCTTAGCAATTAAGTGAAACAATATTTTTGGATGGCATAAGCCTTGAGGTGTTCTTAGGATGTTTTGACACTCATATTTGACGTGCAGGTGGCACATAGATTTATCCTCAAACCACGAGGTGTTTACAATGCAAACATCTCTAGATGAGGCATATGCATGAAATACATGCATATCTGATGTATGCACTTAAAATGAAAAATTAATGCACCAATATTTCAATTAAAAAATATATATCTTTTTAGGGTAAAATATAAAAACCTCCCCTGAGGATTCTGACCCTAGATGGAAAATGTACAACTGATGCATTAATTTGTTCAAAATACCCATCCTACTCTTTGCACATATGATTTTGCATACAATTTTACTAAAATAACCCTGACTTTAACTTGAAATAACCCATTTGCCATCCTCTTTCTTCTTTTTCAATCTCCTACTCCTGAAATGCCATCAAGTCAAGAAGAGGGGTAGTGTCAAGACACCGATCAAGCACAAATAATTTTCTATACCCAGTACAGAGGATGCAAGTTCTGTTCTTATTATTCGAAAACTCCTTTGTTTCAGCTGCAAACGACCCAATGCGGGCGATCTCTGGATTCCAGAAATACCTGCAAATCAACAGAGCCCATCTGAACCCTGATTCCTCCCTAGCCCTAGAATATCAAACCATAGAGTTCATCAAAGGGAAACCTGTGATTGTCGTCAAATGGCCTGGTAAAAATGTGGACCGTCCTTCAAATCTCCTGAACTTACACGCTGATGTTGTTCCCGTTGAGGTTCAGAAATGGACTCACCCCCGTTTTAATGCCCGCCTCAACCAAGCTGGCAATATGGACTGAAATGTATTGGCATGCAGTACCTTGAGGCCATCTGCAGATTGAAGGATTCTGGATTGCATCGCCAAGAATAACGATGAATTTCCTTTTCTAAAGCAGACATGCCAAGTGAATTTCGTTTTTTCCCTCTTCATTTCTTGATATTAATTTAAATATTCTATTACACTAGTTATTATCACTTTGATATTTTACAGAAGGTAAAATTTTGTGGCACCAATTGTCATTATCATCGTCTTGACCAGACTGGGTGAGCAACTCTTCCTCAACCAGAAATGAGTAATAGATTTGTACCAAAAGCAAGAAAAGAAGAGAAAAGAAAAAAAGAAAATATAGACCAGGGCATTACACAAAAAAACACATAGCCATCTGGAAGTTGTCCTTGCCTAACCAAAAATTCCAAATAAGGGATTCTAACCATTTCAAAGTTGAAGCATTAACATCATTCTGATATAATAGTTACAAATCAAAGAACTCCATTTGGGTTCATTGAACGGCTAATCGCCTACATGCTTTAATCCTGCAATACCTGTTCCTGGAAGTGATCCTCGAACAATAAATGACAGAAATTGAAAACAAAATTAGACTTGGCACTTGGGGAAGGATGGAGCATAAGAGGTAACAGGTATGATAAGAAATGATGCATATGAAACTAGGTTAAGAACTTAAAATTTCCCACTCATTTATGAACCAGAATGTAGCAAGTATTGCTTTCCTTTCTTTTTTGTTTCTGTTCTATCAGCCTCTAGAGGTCTTCAGCCAATGGCTTGTGACTGGGGAGCCAGAATGGGCTGAATGGTGCTCAACCTATAGAGCATGCAACGCACTAACAGAGCTGAAGAATACTTCAATTGGTGGGAATGGCATTTTCATGTCCTGCAAGAATCATAGCAGGGCTCGAGAATCCTTTAAAAGGGTAGAATGGGTATTTTGAAAAAACTAATGCATTAGTGAACATTTTCCATCTGGGTCAGTGATGGAAGGGAGGTATGCGTTGAGTTTTTTAAAAGTTTAGGGGGGTTTTGTTAAAGTGATACTTGAGGGGAGGTTTTTGTGATTGTCAGAAACCTCAGGGGAGGTTTTTATATTTTACCCTTTTTTTCTAAACTCATGGGATGATTAATTGTTTGACTGTGCTCTATATTTTGCTATTGTCAAACCCTTTTCAGCCCTTGGCTTTACCAATGCTGATTCCTTGGAGATCTAATACTTGTGGGTTGAAAGAACAAGAAAAAGAACTTTGTATCCTCTTATGAGAAAATTTGAGGGAATATTGTGGGATACTGTAGACTATAAAAAAAAAGCATCAATACATGTAACACCAACAGCTTGCTTTCTCGTGAAGACTGTTACTTTGTCAAAGGATGAACTTTTATTGGTTACTTGATATAAAATACATAAAAAATAAACTCAATATAGGTGTTCTAATATGGTGAGGCATTCTTTTTGGCCCGTTGAGTATTAACTAATTCCCGAGAATATGTACTGCAGCCTCAGGGAACACCAGAAAATGGTTATTTGTGGCAGAGAATCAGTCCCCAGTTGAGCTCCCCTAGCCAGCCATATTCTTTGAGAGAAGCTCTTGCTCAGGCACAGTCTTCTAGGATTGGACCTTCAACACGGGCACTAAGAGAGTCTTTGCACCCGATATTAAGGCAAAAACTGGTATGGTTTTCTACATCATCCATTTAAAGGATTCCCCATTACCTGGTTTTTGAAGCTGACAGTGTTGTTTTACTCGTTTTCCCATTCAATTCAGGAGCTTTGGGAAGAAAACCTAAGTGCATCTGTTAGTCTTCAAGTTTTAGAGATCACTGAGAAGTTTTCAACTGCTGCAGCATCCCACAGCATATCTACTGATTATGGAAAGCTAGATTGTATCACTTCAATACTTATGAGTTTTTTCTCACGAAGCCAGTCACTGGCCTTTTGGAAATGTTTGTTTCCTGTGTTTAACAATATCTTCAATCTTGATGGTGCAACACTAATGGCAAGGGAGAATGATCGCTTCTTGAAGCAAATTGCATTCCATCTTCTTCGACTAGCGGTTTTCCGAAATGATAATATTAGGAAAAGGGCAGTCATTGGTCTTCAAATACTTGTTAGGGTAGGTACTTTAGCCCTAGAATATTTGCAATTTACATTTATCACTTTGTAACGTCTAATCTTTGCATTTGCAGAGTTCCTTCTATTACTTCATGCAGACAACAAGGTTGAGGGTAATGCTGACAATAACCTTGTCAGAGTTGATGTCTGATGTTCAAGTGACTCAAATGAAATCTGACGGATCACTTGAGAAGAGTGGTGAAGCTAAGCGTCTTGGGAAATCCTTGGAGGAAATGGCGGATGATGTTAGGAGTCCTAACCTATTAAAAGAATGTGGACTTTCAGAGGATGTTCTTACAGCAGTTCCTGAAGGTTCTACAGAGATTCGGTGGTCATGGTTAGAAGTGAAACCTCTCTCTGACAGTCTACTTCAGGCCCTTGATGCTGGTTTGGAACATGCACTTCTTGTAAGCTCTTAATGTTTTGTGCAGCATTTTAGGCCTTGAACACAAACTATTTTATTAATGTATTTTTGCATTGACATAATGACATTGTTCTTATCTTGTAGGCTTCCACAATGACAGTAGATCGATATGCGGCTGCAGAGAGCTTCTATCGACTTGCAATGGCATATGCACCTGTTCCTGATCTTCACATAATGTGGTTGTTGCATTTATGTGATGCACATCAGGAGATGCAGTCCTGGGCTGAAGCTGCACAATGTGCTGTTGCTGTGGCTGGTGTTATCATGCAGGTGAATAATCTTCTTGCTATGAATGTCATGTAAAAGCTATGTCACTTGCAACTCCTGTTTAGGTGTGGGTTAAAAGTTTTCTAAATCAACAATTACATTATTACCTAGTAATTCTTTTAGTGGAAGAGTTCTGGAGTATATTTTGGTTATTTAGGAGATATGTGTTTTAATTGTGACTCATCCTCATTATGTGTTTTAATTGGGACTGGTCCCCATTGACTAATTTGGATGAACCACATTTTATCTGTGTGCATGTATGTACTTTTGTGTAGCAAGGTTTAACTGAATGCTTTAGCTGTTCAGCGGGCTGTGGAACCAATGATAAGGTTCCACACCAGTATTTAAATACATGGGGCCTGCATTTTTACAGTGGGGCCCCTGAATTTATTACTGGCGTGAAACCTCATCATTGGTTCCACAGCCCGCTGAACAGCTAAGGCATTCAGCTAATCCGAATTCATTTGTGTGCATATGTGCATGCAACCATGTAATCCATTTCTATACTTGTGCACGTTGATTTGTTTCTACTTTATATGGTAAAAATGAAACAAAAACCTTCCCTGAAATCTAGCAGGTGCTTATGTTACTTTTACTTGTAGGCCCTTGTTGGAAGAAATGATGCTGTGTGGAGCAGAGACCATGTTGCTGCTTTACGGAAAATCTGTCCCATGGTCAGCAGTGAGATTACTGCTGAGGCTTCTGCGGCTGAAGTAGAGGGTTATGGTGCATCAAAGCTTACTGTTGACTCTGCTGTGAAATACCTACAGCTTGCAAACAAGCTATTCTCTCAAGCAGAGCTTTATCATTTTTGTGCAAGCATTCAAGAACTGATCATTCCAGTTTATAAGAGTCGGAGGGCATATGGGCAGCTTGCAAAATGCCATACAACCCTGACCAACATCTATGAGTCAATCCTTGAGCAGGAATCAAGCCCAATACCATTCACTGATGCTACATACTACCGTGTGGGGTTCTATGGAGAAAGATTTGGCAAGCTAGACAGGAAGGAGTATGTATACAGAGAACCCCGTGATGTACGCCTTGGTGATATAATGGAGAAGCTTAGTCATATCTACGAGTCCAGGATGGATGGGAATCAAACACTGCATATAATTCCTGATTCTAGACAAGTCAATGCAGATGAGTTGCAGCCAGGGGTATGCTATTTGCAGATAACTGCAGTGGATCCTGTCATGGAGGATGAGGATCTTGGCAGCAGAAGAGAGAGGATCTTCTCTCTTTCTACTGGGAGCATGCGCGCACGTGTCTTTGATCGCTTCTTGTTTGACACTCCATTTACAAAAAATGGAAAGACCCAAGGTGGCCTGGAAGATCAGTGGAAGAGACGAACTGTACTTCAGACAAAGGGCTCATTCCCAGCTCTAGTAAATCGTCTTCTGGTGATCAAATCTGAATCACTTGAGTTCTCACCAGTAGAGAATGCAATTGGGATGATTGAAACTCGGACAGCTGCACTAAGGAATGAGCTTGAAGAGCCTCGCAGTTCTGAAGGAGATCAGCTTCCACGCCTCCAAAGTTTACAAAGAATACTCCAGGGCAGTGTAGCTGTTCAGGTGAGCTACTAGCATCTTAGTAAGCCATTATATGTTTTCCATTGCAAGCCTATAAACTACCACTACCAAAAATGGTTACTCAGGTTGCTACTTTGATTTAGTTTGCTTTCTTTTCTAATTCGTTTTTACCCCCCACTTGTGTCTTCTTTTGCCCTTTCTTTGGTGGATTCAGTTCAGATCCAACCATAACCAAATCCGATCTGATTAGTATAACTCCAAATTTGAGTCATCATCATCATCATCCATGCCCTACCAACTATATGAGGTTGTCTACATAAATCCTCTTTCACCAACCTGTTCTATTTAAAGTCATATCCACTGTTAAATTATTAGTGCTTAAACCATTTCATACTACTACCCATCTCCTTTCTGGTCTACCCTCAACTCTTCTAGCTCCTTCCACTTGTAACAGATCACTTTTTCTAACTGGAGCTGTTGGTGGTCTTCTGTGCGTATGACCAAACTATCTTAGGGCTTATTATAGTAGTAAGAAATGATTTAATCCTGAGCAAGATGCAAAATCGTATGCATGTGACCCTAGAGGGCTTATTGTAGCCCATTAACAGCCCCAGGGTCATGATATGTTATGTGGACAAATTGACAAATGGGAAAGGAGAGCTAAGTTAACTATCTCAAATTTCCCATGCTGAACTCATTGACAATTGAAATTTATACAAGGTGGAAGGTTGTTAGTTGGCCTGTGTCGTCACTGAATGGAGAATAAAAACTGAACAGTGAAAAGGTTCTTCTGTTCTTGCATTTCTCTTCTCCCATGTCTCTCAATGTAAGCCAGGATAAACAGAAGGGATAAGTAGACTGCCGTCCACCTCAGAAATCTGAAATTACAGCCCCCTCCTAGTCTATTGGTAGTCCCCCTATAAACTGCATCTTGGCCGTGGATTTGACATCGATCCACGGAAAGAATTCATCCCACCTGTACGGTGGGGCTCAGATTTCTGGGGTGGACTGAACTATAAAAACCCCTAAACAGAAATGCTGGCCACAAAGGTGGCTTTTTCCCTGGCTGTGTTTGGTTGCAGTGCAATTTTATTTGCACTAATACAAATGCATGGGAGTGCAAATGAAAAAAAATGCAAATTCTCGTTTAATATTGTTTTGTATTTTACTTTATTCTGCTTCATGTCTTAATTTACTTCATTTGTACTGTAATCAAACAAAATAAGCTAAAATTTGATACAAAAGTAGGTCAGGATTTACATTCAAATCATTTGCACTTCCATGATTTTGCATCAGCGCAAATTTATTTGCATTGCAACCAAACACAGCTTATGTACACCTGCTAAAGGCTATCTATGAATGAATTTTATTGATTAATTTTACAAGTGAATTATGAATCTTCAGGTGAACAGTGGAGTTCTGAGCGTGTGTACAGCCTTTCTATCAGGCGAGCCTGCAACCAGGCTGCGTTCACAAGAACTGCAGCAACTTATTGCTGCTCTGCTTGAATTCATGGCAGTTTGCAAGCGTGCAATCAGGGTGCACTTTAGGTTAATTGGAGAAGAAGACCAAGATTTCCACACGCAGCTTGTGAATGGATTCCAGTCCTTAACTGCCGAGCTTTCCCACTACATTCCTGCTATTCTCTCAGAATTATGACGTGTTTACATGTTTTGTGTTCATTTGGATTGTTTATATGCTTTTTATTCTTTTGATTTGGGCGTTCTTTTCTGGGCTGATGTTCATATGGTTACCTGTATTTTATCCTGTATATGTTCTCCCACCCTACTAAAACGGGCCCTGATAGTGTTTCGTTTATTGTTTTCCTCCAATGGTTCTTTGTTTCAAATTCACTGAGCAAAAATCATATATTTGGTTCCAGGTTGATGTTCCTAGTACTGAGAGGTTTTGGCTGTTAGGGAGTTGCATTATCGTTGAAATGAAATGGTAAACCAAAATTTTTGACTTCGATTGCTGCCTGGTTCAGTTTTGCAGCTGTTTGCAAGAGTGCAGATTTTATTTTCAATTTAGGTTTAAAAATGTTTCTTGACTATTTTTCATATTTGCACTCTTTCGGATTCAGGGAGCCAAGGTTCAAAATATCGCAATGTATAGGTTTTCAGGGTCACATACTAAATATTTGGATTTAGGTGATTTCGTTAAATTATCAAATCAGAAAAGTTAAACGAAAAAAAAAAAAACTTTCGATCAAAATAAACTCTTGATATGCAAGTGTGCATGCTTTGAACCAAGGTTCAAACTTCAAAGTATCGACACGTATTGGCCGGTATTAGCCATACGTATCATTCCGGGACCCCTCCGATATGCTTCTATATTGGGTGTATCAGGGGTCTGACCGGTTCAGGGGTGGAGTCCTAAACTGGCCACCCTGATCTGGTTTCAGAAAAAAAAAAAAAAAGTAAAATAAATAGTATTGATTTGCCTGATATGCCCCTACTGGTGTATCAGGCGTATCGATATTTTGAACCTTATTGGGAGCAACCTTTGCTTCCAAAAAGACAGACTATAAACTTTGCACCAAGGTTCAAAGTATCGACACGTATGGGCCGATACGTATTGTTTCGGGACTCCTCCAATGTGCCCCTACAGTTGGTGTATCAGGGGTCTGACCGGTTCAGGGGATGGTGGAGCCCTAAACCGGCCCCCTTGAATCAGTTGCAAAAAATAAAAATAAATAAATAAAACATAAAAAAGCAGTACCGATTTGCCGATACGCCCCTACAGGCATATCGGGCATATCAATATTAAAATGATAAAAAAATGTAATCAATGAGAATAAATGGTTAAAAAGCCTCTTTTTTGGCATTTATCTTATCCCAAATTCCCAATGTCCATCTAAGGTTCAAAGTATTGATATGCTCTAAAAAATAATATGTGCAATACACGAAAGTTGTGTATCACGTGTTTTAAAGGGGTGATGCTTTTTTGATTATTTCTTTTTTATGAGCCAAAAATTGGGTCATGACATCTCTAGAATGGGTGTTAGCCTTCAAAAGTGGCTAAATGTCCTAATTTGTAGTATCTCCATGGGTTCAAAAACCTCACGGATCATGCCATATGTACTAATACATATCGTTAGTTTGAAGTTTGAACATTCTGTCCGAGCATACAACAGTAAAATTATATTTCCTTTGGAACCCACCACTCACAATCAAACAGAATATTGTATATTTGTTGGCAAAACTTATGGTTCATGAATAACATCATGAACCTAAAAACATGAACCGGGGATAAAACTTGTCACTTTTGAGTTTTTCTTTAGTGTTGAAGTCTTGATGGTAACTAGTAAGTATACCTTGTGGAACATGAATCAATGAAAAACAGACCATTTAATATGATTGATTGAAATCTTGATTTAGCATACATTATAGTTGAATTCATTTTTAATGCAAATTTAAACTGAATTGATACTTTTCTATTCCAACACCAACCATTTTCCCTTAACTTTCTGCATTTCTCTTATTTTGTCAAAGTGAATGTAGCCTTAGAGCTCGAAATCTTTGTAAAAGAAATACATATATGCAACACCCTTCTTATTGAATTTGGGATTAGAGACGGTAGATGTACATGTATGCAATTCTTTACTGCAGGTGATTCGCCGTGAATCCACCTGCCAACAATATACATTCCAACCACCTACCAACATGATTTGACACTGCACATCTCATACATGACAGGTCCCACTTTTATGATGAGTCCCAGTCTCATGGTGAGGTGTGCGATGTTAGATCAAATTGATAGAGGGTTAGAACTTGTTTTATTGGCAGAAGATCCCAACTCACTCGCCATGAGTGATCCAATCATTTGTTTACCCAATAAAAGATATTTTCTGTGGATTTGTATCTAAATATCTACTATAGTGCCTGATTATGATTCCTGAAAGGCATGACATCTAAAAAACTTGTAACCAAATATCAATTATACGGCAATACTTAATTGCTTACCTAAGCCCCATGTCCAAACCATCATTAATCCGGTCCAAACCATCATTAATCCGGTCCATATCAATTCTGTCCGAGCATACAACAGTAAAATTAGTGCCATATCAATTATATGGCAATACTTAATTGCTTACCTAAGCCCCATCCTCCTCACTCTTCTTATATGTGCCAAGTTGCAGTGTTGCACTTGTAGTCACCACAATGGAAAATGAAAGAATTCCCTGTGGGTTAGTCACTAAATGCGACCATGAAGATGGCCACATGGCAATGAGAACCATTGACATGAATGATTCTAGACTCCATATCCGACCCCAAATATTACTTCTTCCAAAATTTATAAATTTGATCACATCAGACAACTAGAGGGTAACCCAAGCATGATTCTTTCCGGGAACATTGTCTTTAGGGAAAAAGACTTAAACCTCCCTTTTCTAAAACAACTTCTCCTACTTTTCGTAAAATGACCTTGTGATGATGTCATCAGACAAAGACCTTTCCTCTGTTAACAATATATTAAGATCTGTTTGTACCTGACATCACATTTGACTAAAATATTTAACCCAATTTTGCTCTTTTATTAATTCTTGTGTAGACCTGGATGGTCTGACGGTCTGGTCTAATCTAACTCGTTTTAAATCGGATTTAAACATGAATTTAGACCCACGAGCTTGAACTCAGGCCTGACATTTTTCAGATGGGGCTTGGACTTTCTCAAAAAAGTTGAACCCAAACCCGAGCTTTCATTATCTAGTTGTTGGTCTTTATTGGGAATGATCCCTTTCAAGAATAAGATCTTTGAAGAATAGGAAGTGTAAGAAAATTGTTCTGACATATGAATTGGGAGCTTGCTCTTCCTTTACTGTATATATCTTTCTTCATTGGGTTGAATTAGGAATATTTCAACAACACTTGTTCATCAGGCATCACTGAATTTGACTGGTAATTTGCTGTGGCAAAGACTGGGAAGAGGCCTAGATTGCCACCCACAAAAGGGTGGAAATGTAATATGTTCAGGGGCTCTCATCTGGGCTGAATGCCAAAGGATTTCGTTTTAATAGAAAAAAACGCATCATTTAATTAATCCAACATATAACTTATAAGGGTATATTTGTCTTTTTAACTCCTCCGTTAGACACGACGGCTAAAAGTTAGAACATCTGAAATGTGATAGCGTGATAGGGGAGGTATGGTAGGAGAAAAATCCGATTTCGGGGTGACGGAATCTGCTCCTCACAATTGGGCGCCTCACAGGCACATTCACCATACATTGGGAACATTCATTTTCGGGAGGTAGCATTCATTTTGAAAAGAGAGGAAAAATATCTGCCCACTGACCACTGTGGAGTGTGGAGTGTGGCCAACCAAGCCCAGAGGTGACAGCTTCGTCTTCGCTCATCCCTCCTTCTTTCAAGGACGATTTTGTCCTTCCGAGAGACGGAGGACATACACGTAATACGAATGTCATAATTTAATATCCTAGCAGAGTAGAAGAAGGTCAGGGAGGAGGAGAGACCGGATCACCGGAGACGGACAACAAGAAGAAGAAAGTCGGAATCTCTCTCTTTCTTCACTGCGCTGAGCAGAAAAAAATATGGGGGCAATAGTGAAGAAGGGATGGCAACAATACATGATACAGCTTCAGCTTCATCCCTTAAGAACCAAGGTACGGCCCCCTTTCTTTCTCTCCCAATTTTATGATATGGTTTCCTTATTTCCTTTCTGTTTGAGAATCGGGATGCGTTTCGTTCCATTTTGATTTCTGAATTGCAACAGCCCCTCTGATTTGGGTTCTTTTCCTTTCACCTGATCCTGCTTTACTTCCTTGTTGGTAATGGCTATTCAATTGCAGGCGATTACTGCCGGTATTTTGGCGGGAATCAGCGACTCAGTCGCTCAGAAGCTCTCCGGCTTTCAGAGACTTCAACTAAGACGGCTTCTTCTTAAAGTGGTAAATGGCCTCCCTTCGTCCATAATATTCCTAATTTTCTGTTCTTAATTACGGTGGCTTGGCGTGTCTGTTTAATTCTATTCCTTGCTCTGTTATTATTACCAATTATTGGCTGATCTCTTTTCCATGTGGGAAATTGTGCGTAAGCCCAAAGCTCAGTTGGCCTGTCCAACCTCGATGTGATGCGTTGTATCCCAACTTAAGGAAACACGGAATATAATGGAGTTTGGTATCCGAGTGAAGAATTAAGCTCCACTTATTGAATCCGTGTCTTGTCGTCGTCGTCGTCGTCATCATCATCTAAGCCTTGTCGGCTAACATAAATCCTGTTTTCCGCCACCTGTTTTTTCTCTGCTCCTAGCCCCTCTAACTCCTTCAATTTGCAACAGATTGTGCATGTCATTAAACCATCTATTCTACTTACTTTCTTAGAGCTACTCCTAGGTTCCGTTCAATGACCATTTCTGAACATCTTTAGTCTACTTTTTCTTTTTTTTTCTGGTTTTTTCACTAATCAATCTTAGCAGCACATGTATTTCTGCCATACTCAGTTTTGGACATATTTCTTGGTTGCCCAACTCCACTAGTATGAATTTGTCTTACACCGCAGGTCCAACTCCCAAGCCCGAATAAAGGAGGATTTTGTCAGGTTGTCAGTAAACATTAAAACATTTGCCAAACTATTATGGTCATCGATCATTGAATCCGTTTCTTGTAAAATCCCAAAATTTTCATCTTCATTTTCACGTTAAGACAAGAGCCTTATGTTTTGGGAATTATTGTTTTGAACTTATGGTGCGACATGATTTCATAATACCATACTGCAGGATGTATTACATTTTTGTGTTTTTCCTTTATCTTTTGTTCACTTGCCACTATGAAATATGAAAACATATACATCATTTGCCCTCTGTAAGTCTGTAACCCATGTCCTTTGCTGCAGTGAGCACTGCTTCCAGGAGCAGTCTGAGCCCCCGTCAGGGATCTTTTTCCCAGACATTCTTCAGTTAATCTTCACCACCCAAGAGAACCCCTTAGTCTAATCAGAGAAGAAAACTAAAGTTGGAACTGCTTTTTCTATCCGGTCATTGCCATGTATGGATCCTAAGATTTAATGAGTCAGAACATTTACTATGTATGGATCCTAGTCACATAGATTGGTTCCTAATGTTTTTTCTACCACAAACTAAAAAGTCTTTCTCGATAGCTTTGACTGTACTTTTGACTTACTCTTGTGTGTGAGTGGCAGAGTGGGTTTGTCGTGTGGCCTCCGAATGCTAATTAATATGGTGGTTAATTATTTAGTACTAGGACAGAACATTACTAGATGATGAAAGATTTACTTTTCTTTTTGTCATATGATATTTCCTTTAGGTTGTATTTGTTTCCATGTTGAAGGGCTGAATACAAAGTTTTCATTATAAAAAAGGAAAAATATAGCTGGAATTATTTCACAGAGAAAATTTTTGCTCCATTTACATTGAAACAGATGGACTCTTAGGGATGTTATCTCTAACGTAAATTTGGTATTGCACACAGGTGTGAGTGACTTACAAGTCACAGGTCATTCTATAACAGAAATATTTCTATGGTGCTCAGTTTTCATCATTCTTGCAACTTTGATTTTACGATTCCATGGTCATTTTCTATTCATATTCACATTCTAATTGGATAAAAAAAGTGTGAATGCTATATGCAAGAAATTTGCATATAAAGTAACTCTGAGTTTTGAAAACCATTTGAAACAATTCTTTGTACCAAATGGTTCTTAAAAATGCTTATCTGAGTATAATTCAAAGGAAAATGATACTGCTAAAGCATTTTTCTATTAAGGGAAGATTTCCCTGATGGCACTTCAATTCATGTGAATCCTGTAGCATTAGCACCTAGTTGTTAAAAGCACTATCTTTTAATGCATGTTTTATTGCTAGATCAGTTCTTTATATCTCTAGAAAGATTCTCTATTGGTAGACTAAAATGAGGTCTTTAAACTAAATCTTAAAAAGGCCTGACAGCATCATTTTCCTTTAAAATCAGAAAATTATTTGGTCCTAATGTCATATATGCAATTTCTTTCCCTGATGGCACTTCAATTCATGTGAACCCTGTAGCATTAGCACTTAGCAGTTAAAAGCACTATCTTTTCATGCATGTTTTATTGCTAGACCAGTTCTTGATATTACTAGAAAAATTTTCTCTATTGGTGGACTGAAATGAGGTCTTTTGTTTATATCTTAAAAAGGCATGACAGCATCATTTGTCTTTAAAATTAGAAAATTATTTTGTCTTAATGTCATATATGCAGTTTCTTTGAATTCTTATGACCACACAATAATTGAAATGGATTACAAAGCTTACCATGTATTGGCACCACCTGCTTTTGATGTTGCAAATACAATGTTAAAACGAGATGTCATTCTTACAGAATTGAATCTTTATGTATTAAATTTTGGAGGTGCAGCCTTCGCAATCCAGGTGTTAAAGATGTGGGAGGATTTTTCAGAACTCATCAAGTGAAGACTATATTAATATATTTAATCCAATAGTAGTTGGTGCTATCAGCATAGAACTCTTCTTGTTATTACAGGTTCTTTGTCTGCGCCAATCCTTGGGCTATGGCAATCTCAATGTAGAAAGTGATCCTCAAGTAATTATTATTTTGATGAGGGATAGTCTAGGATCTTGGCAGCTAAGACAGTCTTTGGGTGGGTTAATATTAGGTTACCTCTGTGAATATCTTGTTCAGGTAAATTGTCCAAGACAGTTTGTTAATAGGAAGGGGCAAATAGACAGGCCTTGATTAAGGGAACACGTTTTTCATTCTTGTATTGGATTACAGGCAGCTATAAGGGAAGATAGAAAGTTACTTAGCTCTCATTATCTCTTTGGATTGTTTATGTACCTTATTTATTGTACTTTATTTAGTTCATCATTAATAAAACCTTTGTACTCTGTTCTCAGATAAAAAAGAGGAATCTTTCTGCATTTTGTATTAACTTAAAGTTTTGAACTTTTAGACTGGTACCATATCTAAGAGTTTTAAGAACAATTAAACTTATTTTTTCTTCTTCTATTGTTCTTCAAGGGCCATTAATCGACCTTATTGTTCTCTTTTTCTTATTTTTTTCTCTTTCTTTCTTTTGGTGGAGTGGATGTTATCAAGAGAAATAAGTTACCATTTCCAGGCAAAGCTGTGGTTATCTGTGTATTTGTGTGGGTGTGGGTGTGTCCTTTCATTTGCCAGCATTTCTTTTAAAGTAAACTTGTGCATTCACTCATCTATGGCTGCATATATTTGTTTTTGTTTTTGATAAATGGCTGTATCTATTTGTCTGTGGTTGCATATCCTGACATGACTAAATTCAGCTTTTTGGATTTGCTTATGGAGGACCATTTGGGCATTTTCTGCACATATTGATGGATAAAATTTTCAAGGGGAAGAGGGATACACGAACAGTTGCAAAGAAGGTGTTCTTCTGATTTCTCTTCCATCTTGAGTTCTTTCTTATAAATTCCAAGACTAGTTTTGGTTAATTTTAAGAATTCTTAGATTGTAAATTTGTAACTAAGTACCATTTAACAAATCACATAATTCTAGCATGCCCTATTATCTTATTTTTCAGGTGTTGCTGGAGCAGCTGACATCTTCTCCTTGGAATAACATCTTGTTTATGCTGTACTATGGGCTCGTTGTTGAACGTAAGTCCATTTCACAGAGCTTACAGCATATCATCCTCCAAAAAATGTTGAGATCCTGAGAAATTAATGATTTCAACAAAACAACTATTTGAAATCAGTTAACCATTCAAACTAAAAAATGGACTTAGTTACATATCTATATCTATATCTATATATATATATATATAGCTAACTAATTAAATAGATTCCTTCAAGAAGAAAATCATAAAAGGAAGCACTAATGCTTATTTGTTGGGCCAATATTCTGCGTTTATTAAAGGGAAACTTCATTACACACTTCCAGTGAGGAATTGTCTAATAAAGATTATTGATAAAAAAGAAAAGTCTAATAGAGCTTAAAAGGAGTAGCCTGCCTTCCTTGGAATGGCAGGTATCCTTCCATACTGATGCCAAATTATGAAAATCCTGGAATATAGTGTGTAACTTAACAGTGGTTTAGGCATTTTTCTTAACCAACTTCCTAGAAAATGATGATGAGGTTCCTTGGCCAGAATTTTTCCCTTGATTTTAGTTAGAAATGGAAATTTCATCCACCTTCTCTTTATGAGGTTTTTCTCTTCAGCAATTTTGAAAAAAGAAAATTGCTACCATTGATCAAACCAAAATTACTGACTGAACATTTGGTTTAATAGCTGCTTTATATTTTGGCTGTGGATCTATTTATCATTGAAGAAGTCATAGTTTCTTTGTAATATTCCTATTCTATGCAGGAAGGCCCTGGGTTCAGGTCAAGAGTAAACTCAAGAAGGATTATCCCTCTGTACAATTGACAGCATGGATGGTATATTCCAGTTTTGTTACCTTTGTTTTGCAAGTGATTGTATAACCTTTTTGTTATATTGAAACTTGGGGTTCAAATGAGTAAATATGCTGATTTAAAAATATGCAGTTTTGGCCTATTGTGGGGTGGGTAAACCACCAATATATGCCACTCCAGTTTCGTGTCATCTTTCACAGCTTTGTTGCATGCTGCTGGTATCTATTTTATTAATTTCCTGGATTTGTTATTTGTTAATTTGCATTCTTCAGTGCTGCAGTTTTGTTTAATAATTAAAACTCACGATTTAATTTATGCTGTTTAGGGGAATATTTCTGAACTTACGGGCAAGGTCTATGATGCTGACCAAGGGATAGATAGCTTTTACAAGGAAAGACACCTTTGCCAATAACACCTAATTCATGTTTGCAACAATGCTCAGGAATATAGTTGATGTCCCAAATCTTTGATGCGACAGGCTTCTTTTTGGGTGATGATTTCATATGCACTTGTTGTCTGAGATTCTAGGTACTCTTTCTATTTGATCTTTTGGTGCACTGTTGAATGTTCAGGCCTGTTATTTGAATTAGTTATTTGATACCTTATCATTCTCGAGTTTGACTAAGCATTGGTTGTGCATATTTTAAATTTTTAATAATAGCTTTTCTTCTCCCTTTAATTGCTTCCGTGTTTTTTGCTCAGATTATTATTTTAGATTAAATGTTAAATTAATAATCAATTAATTCTGAACCTGCATTAGGTAACCGTGTATTACCAATCTTAAATACCATGGCCATGTGGAAAAACCTGGGAGTGCTTTTGGTAATTTTACATTCAATTTGTAAGCCCCATCTGGATATTTTCAATCGTGAAATCTATCCAATTAGATAATATGACCAAATACAAGATTGAATAAACTTTTAAGTTTTAATTGGTTGAAGGAAACAAATAGTACTCTCTACAAAAGGATATTTTTTATTTGATTACATAAGATATAGAAGCAAGTTGGCCTTTTGCATTACTATTTCTCCATGATGCTATCTACTCATCTTCCAAAGTGACCCATATTATTTTGGATTAACTACCTGTATGGAGCCTTATCTTGGTTTATTTAGCATCTTTACGATAGTGTCTCTTTTGATGTTTTATGTTTTTCTTTTTCTGATTCTAGGGTAACCTTGCTCAATAGTATAGATAGAGAGGCTTATCATATATAGGAATCAATGTCAAAAGCTCGTGATATGTAGTCTACTTTATCCATTCATGAGAGTAGCAGATGCTATTATTTGTCCCAATTATAATATTTTAATTTTTTACTCCTATTTATCCAAAGTCCATTGCTCGACTCATTTGTAAGAGGCTTTTTTGACTGAAGAGATCATCTTGAGTAAATATTGATGGAGCCTCAATGAAAATTTCTTTGGGGATCGGTGGCTAAAGACTTTTAAACATTTAAGGTCTGTTACTTGGTAGACTTTTTGATGCTTTTGAGGTCCTCATGAAAGGGGATGTGTTGGTGAATTCTTTCTCTTTATTGTGGAGTATCTTGACTCTTCAGGCTTTCCATGTGGGTTTTGTCATTAACAGCTGATTGCAGAAAAATTCTTAGCCAAGCTCCTCACATCTTGGTTGTCTATACTCCTTGGAGTTTCAATATGGCAGCTCATAGCATGGCCAAACTAGCTTCTAATTCGCATTCTTTCTGGAGTTGTGATTCTGACTCACCCGACTGTATCTCCTTTCTAATCTCTGTCTAGAAATCTACCATGTAGCAGGATGAAAGTTCAGTTAAATGAAATCGGTCTTCCAATGGTTGAATGGAGAGGCTACATATCCACTGGTTTTGTTTTGGATTAAAGGGAATGAAACTCACCATTCATCATTCCCAGTGAAAATTTTTAGTTTGAATTTGTGTTTAAAAGAGTGGATATGAATTAGTTGAAGAGATGTTCATTCCAAAATAAAACAGGCTGATTGAAATGGATGTAAACACACAAACCGATCTATGCAAAATGTAGAACGAACATGTTTTTGGTAGGACTGCTATTCATCTTATTATTCTTACTACAGTTTTAATTTAGTGCAAGGGGATATTTTTCTGTTCTTAACCTTTAATTTCCATAATCTCCTTTATGAAATAAGTTCATTATTCCTTCATTTTAAATACTTATTTTTAATTTTGTTCTCAAAATGAAAATTTTATTGTGCGTTTTAAATTATTGTGAGTTCATTACTTTCTTCTTTTGAAATCTCAATATTACAAAGACCGAAAGCACCTTCAATTTCGGAAGAAACATTAATATTTGAATGATTCATGTTATCAACATTGCCTTTGTCATTGAGCTTTAGATTTGCATCAAAATTGAGGTTTTTAGTGTCAACATTACAATATTGATTTCTATCAATCAAGCATATCTATTGTGGTCATGGTTTTCAAGGTGATCTCTCAGGCTCTCACTACAGTTTATCAGTTCTGAGATAGAAGCATAGCCAGTATGGATTTGAGAGGGGGGAAGATTTCAGATTTCGGCTACTAGACTTTTGAGATTTGATATATCGAATCGAGATATCTAGGATTCTGGGTCCTCCACCAAACTGGTTGATCTTTTCATCTTGTTAATTGTTTGTTTGTTGGGTAATCAGGTCGGACTTGGTGCTGCTCCAGATGCGATCCGGCATGGAACTTACCATATTACCAAACCTGGATCCAGATATGATACGGGTCCTGTTATTGTGATCCATATCTGGTGCAAACATCATAACTATATAACATGTCAAATGATTTGTTGTTGAAAAAGTATTGTTTCATGGATGGTTATTATCATTTGGACAAAATTTCGATACAAAGTCTTGTTTTGGTAAGAATGAAGTCAAGGCTCGGTTTGGAAGGAGTACAAATATAAATATGTAGAGCACATTACAAAATCTTGTATTTTGTAATTTTTTGTATATATTTATACTGTACATATTTGTATTTGAATTCTTTCCAAACTGAGCCTAATTAAAGAAAAGGACGGGGGATTTTTTTTTTTCTTTTTTGATAAAAAGGAAGGGGTGATACATAAGACGGGGGGAAATTTTTATTTCGACTTTGATTGAACTTTTTGCCTAGTCGATTATGTAATCTATCCAATGAACGGTGGAGATCATCCATAGAATCCTTCCACTTAGCAGAAAAAGGGTCATATAACCCGATAAAAAAAATAGTTAAGGTGACATAAAATTAGTGGGTAAGATATTATAACTTACAAGTATGAGACTCACCCCTTGTGAATTGGCATGCTTCCTATCCCTTATCATTAACCCCAATAATTCACGCACTGGTAAAGCATGGGAATCTCGCCCTACATTGAGAATACCTTTTAATGAATTTAACATAAATGTACGGGAGATATCCCCAATATGTGACTGGATGTCATGTGAACAGAGTTTTTGTTTTCAGGAGATCTGGGCTCCATGCCTCCATGGAAGGGCCCATAGATTCCACTTTGAAGGAAAATTACATTGAGAGAAGGGAGAATGGAGAATTTTTTGAAATTAAGGTAGCTTTACTAAGCAGGAGCACGTTAGAGCTTAGGGATCTGGCTGCAATGCCATCTTCAAGAGATGGGGAGTCCATAGAAGAGTTTGCAATCTTTCTGTTTTTTCTTTTTTTTGTAAACCAGAAGTCAATTCCTTTCAAGCAGACAATACAGGGATATATCTTGAGAGTTATCCCCATTTAAGGTTTGAGTTAAGAAATTAGGAGAATCCTCATGATGATTAGATAGAGCAAACTGAGCTAACAAATGGGCAACTGAGCTAACTTCCCTGTTAATATGCAAGATCTCAACGTTGGCAAAAGATAGAAGGAGTGCTAGGCAATCCCCAGCAATGTGCCATTGTGGAGATCGCTCAAGAATGAATTACGTTCCGCTATATAGGCTGTCTTGGAATGCTTTCAGAGAATTAATTTTGATGACTTTTAAATTCTAAAGTTACTTTTAAGTTTGTACTTTATAAAACAATTATTATTAATTCTTCTTCTGCACTTAAAACTGATAAGAATCGGTTCTTTGATGCTAAAAATCCAGGCATCTTTTTCTTTTCTTTACATGATATCAATTAAGGCTTGGTGGCTATGATGCCAGAAAGACATGATACTGGAAAAACTTGAAACCAATCAACTGGTATCAAAGCAACTTAACACAACTGAACATGGTGGTGGCTATATAGTAGACTGCAGATCCAATGATAATGCCCTACACCGGTCATAAAATACATGGGGCCAGGTGATATAATAGGTTTCATAGCCCACTTAACAGAAAATGTGTTCAGTTAATCCGATCTCGTGTCAAAGTGGTAACCAGTCAAGACATGATGATGATACAGAAAGACTTTTTTAACGGTTGACCCACAAATAGGGCCCCATGAATTTTATGATTGGCATGAGGTGATATCATTGGTTTCACAGCCCACTTAACAGCCAATGCGTTTGGTTAACCCGATCTTGTTTCAAAGGAATTTACATCTGTGCCCCACAGAGTGCGCCCAAAAAACATCCCACATGCACATCTCAGTATGCATTGGGAACATCTCCTATACTTATCATTGGAAGATATTCTCAATACATGATTGGGATGTGCTGTGGGATATTTTTTGGGCACGCTCTGTGGGGTGCAGATGTGCATTCATTTCAAAATGGTAACCACTCAAGACATGATATGGAAAGAGAAAGACATTCTTAACAGCGGACCCACAAATAGAAGGTTTATTGGCATATGTATCTTGTAAGTTCAGATCTCCTACCCACACCTATCCATACATCACTACAGCCGCACATTGAGAAGATCTCCAATATTTGCATGTTACCATTCATGGGGAGTTGTTTTCAATATACAGCTGTAATATCCTGTGGCTAGGTGTGTGTAAGATTCTTGTGAGTAGGACATTGGCAGATTCCTGATCTCCTAAAAATTAGGCATGTATAACCCAATCACTAATATATTCACTCTTAACTAGGATCTGCTACATATAAAGACATGTACTATGAATTACTGACACATGTTTAAGGCTGTCAATGGGTTGGGTATGACCCGATGGATGCAAACGATTGGACCAGTTCTGGTTTTAAAATCTGGTACTGATGGATCAGTTTCAATTCTTGATCTATTATCCCAATTATTATCAGTTTGAAATCGACTCTACCCAATCCCAAATTGATTCAGACCCGTTATATTAAATATATAACATTTTCAGATCAGACCTGATTGTCCTAAGTGGTTCAATTTTAGGTCTAAAATTACAGACCCTAGAGTTGGATTCAGTTCCTATTCCTTGATATTTCTTGTTGAATTGGTTTCCATTTATCCAATCTAATACGACCCAGACCTCATGCGTACATATAATTACTAGCATGCGAATTATTAATTGATTACATAACTCGATGCTGTATATCTATTTTCAAAATATAAAAATATAAAGTATGGTTACAATTAATCATTCTACTGTCGGCTTTCAAAAGAAAAAAACAAAAACAAAAACCGTTCTTCTACTGTCTGATCGGATAGAATTCTTTAGACTTGAATGAGAATTTTGTTTACTTATTCCTAAGGTCATCTTATTCTTAATAATCAATCATACATAGATAGTTGGTGGTTGTATATTAGTGTTGTTATGAAGTCAATTGTATATTTTCATTTTATTAAATTATTGAGGTGGATATGGTTTTCCTCATAGGAATATTAGTGTAGTTATGAAGTCAATTGTTGTATATTAGGATAGCCTTTGACTTCTCTTCCTCATCTTCTCGGGGAGAGAGGCATGATCAAATTATACACCTTTTTTCAAAATATGATAAGTGGATGTTTCCAATTATACATACCACAAATTTTTGATTTATGATGCCCCATTGCCAACCGTATATACCATATACCACAGAGAGCCTGCACTTCCACATATTTGATCTTATATATATATGCCTTCCATTGGATACATGTAATAAGTGGTGGTAGGTGCACCCACTAAAGGTGTCAATGGACCGATTTTGGATTGGACCTGTCTAGTCTAAAATCAATTTGAACGGATTGGACGGACCAACAAGACATATTGGATTGGATCAATTCGGTCTAAATTATTTATTAGATTGGATTGAACCTGGTCTGTTCATATAAAATTTATATTGGATTGGGTTGGATTAAGCCAATATCTGGTCTATTGATATAACATAAAATATAAGTGTCAATGGACCAGGTTTGGATTGAAACCAATCTAAATCAAATCAAATTTTAACAGATTAGATGGTCCAGACATTGAATTGGACCGGTCTAAAATATTCATTGGACTGAATTGGACCTAGTCCATTTGTAATAGACTCACATTGGACTGGATTGGATTAGACCAAATCCAGTCCAATTGACACCCCTACACCCCAGCCCCACTACCCCTCTAGACCCAATTATCGGGTTTAGGGGTTAGTGGTGGGAGGGTTGCTCTGGACCATTATTACCCTAGAAGAGGATATGTTAGTGTCATGCCCATAGTTCAGAGATATGCGATTTTATTTCATTTGTGATATTTCACATAAAAATTAAGAATACACATAAAACCCGGTAAAAAAAAGTGAATTACTTCTTTTTAGTCCAAAATCCTGAATGAATCCAAAGCATTTCTGAAGATAAATCGGTCATTCCTTTTATTTAAAAAGCATTTCTGAAGATGAATCCAAAGCATTTCTTTTATTTAAAAAGAAAAAAATTTAAGAAGACTGATTTTGGTCATCTTTCCTTTTATTTGTTTTATATATTATTTCATAGGGCTAGGCTATAGAACAGGGGCAACCCATCCTCCTAATCCAAAAAACCCAATCCTGTTCAAGGCCCAAGTCTCCCTTATAACTAGCCATAGATCATACTCACTGAGTTACTTGATTTTGAATCTCTGCTACGTTCTATCCATGGATGAAAATGCATCCCTTGCTTTTGATTAATCTTGTAAAATTAGATCCTTGAATCAATCTTCTTCTTTTACTTCTTTTTTTCTTTTTTTAATTATCTGGG